ACAAGCCCAGCATCTGAGATTCATGGCAGAAGCGAGAAAGAGCTCATTTAATATCAGCCATCGTTGTAAATACTAGAATTATGCATGTATCAGATCCCTGGGTAGGAACACTTTGGGAACTGCCAGTGAGCCCTGTTTGCTCTAATGAGGTGAACCAAAATAATGTTTTTGCATGTCTCAGATTTATAACAACTCAGATTTAATCCCATTTCAAATGTTGCACCTAGGGTCTAGCTGAAATAAAAGTCATTGTTTCTATGMAAAAAGAAAATATATATTAAGAGAGGAATTTAAAGGACATGCGGTCCCAAAGGCTTCAGCGGGATGATCAGGGCTTTCATTGCTTGGAATCTGAGCAGACACGCAACAGAGAGAGGGAAAAGCAGGATGAAATGCACCTTTCACCTCTACGGGGAAAAACTTTAATTACGACTTGATGGCAGCTAATTGCAAAGGTGGTTCAGTGAACACAGGAAGCTACACGAGCTTCCCTTGCAGCCGCTGAAATTAGCAGGGATCGTTATGCTGATCTCCATGGCCTCTTGAYGGGAGAGCGAGGGTTTCCTACTCCCCTGACCTCCAGCGCTCCCTCAGAGCCCTCTGGAATGGCTCTTCCTCCATGGGGGGGACCTTGGCGGGATTTAAATAGCTGCTGGTATTAATAGCAAGAGCTGGTAGGTAAAGTGGAGACTTGGGCGCTCCAGGAAGAAATGCAGGTTTGTGAACAACCCGGCTTCCGCTTTAGTCTGCGCTTCCTTTCAAGGAGGAGTTGATACACCAAAAAAAAAAAAAAAAAAGAGAAAGAAAAAGTTACCTAAGTAAAAGGAAGCCAGTTTTGATGCAGAGTGTGGCTTAGGGATGAGATGCTGTATGGGTAGCTCTGAGATTCAAAAGTGCTCTTTGGATTTTGAGGCGGCATCGAGGTGCTGAGGCAGCAGCCTCTCCTGGGTGCAGTGCTGGGCAGCACCAGGACTAGAAGCACGAGGATGTCTTTAAGGGAGCTGTTTGTGGATGGGTGGACATACCTGCTGAAACACCTGCCCTTCAACTTGCATACATTGGAAAAGCACCCAAGGTTTCCTCTCCACTTTTTTTCCTATTGAAACAGAAGCAGATAGAAGGGAGAGGCCTCCAGCAGTAAGAGATGACTGGAAAAGATTGCACTGGGTAAAACTGGTGATCCACCTAACTGAGAAACCTTCCTCTGGTGGTTTTTTATAGCATTCTTCTAGGGAAGGACAAATAAAATCCCTCTGCACATGGCGAAGGAGAGCTTTAGATGGAAGGAGAGGATGGTGGGGGTCTAAACTTAGCGCCTAAGTGCATTAGCAGTTAGTTAGGACAAGGATTTGCAATTCAGAGAGAAAAGCCCAAGAGCAAGTCAAGAGGGAGGGGAAACAGTCAAGAGAGGCAGAGCTGATGAAATCATAGAACAAAGSAAAATTAATGGATTTTCAAGCACATGGGATAAACTTTTCCTTGATGYAAACCAGTGTTAGCGTATTAAAGGCAAAGGGATATTTTGGCTTAAAGTATTTGAAAGCTTAGCCTATTACAGCAGGCCTGAATTACGGAAARCAATTTCAGCCTTCCTAACTTTTGGTACTTTTCTTAGTTATAATAATTAGCYAGAGTTAAGAGTATAGAAATACTGAAAAACAATGTGGCAAGAAGTTAACCATAAAATCCTGAAAATATTGGGGATTGATTTGAGGCAATCCTCAGCCTTGGAAATTATCAGCTTTGCATACTACAATAACAGCATAGAATAAGCAAACATTAATGCAGCAGGCTCAGCAAAAGAAATATTAAGGAAAAAAAAGCCTCTTTGCCATCCATTAGGCATGGTAATATAACACGAGCAAGAAGACTGGGCTGCGCTGTTATCTGGTTTGCTGTGTGATTCGCTCTGCAGATTACCACTTAGATCAATAGCTCTCGCATTGATTTTTCCAGCTTGCTGTATTCCAGTAAAATGCCCAGTGCGCGGCGATGAGTCAGCGCTCTGCTCCCGTGCRTTTTCACGTCGGAAAATAAACGCAGGAGCTAAAGCACCACAAATATTCGGAGAGGAACCTGCCTTCTGCCCCGTCGCATGACCCTGGCTTTGCAGGCACGTCAGCACCTGGGTGCCCAGCGCCAGGCACTGCAGTCGGATTCAACAGCAATTAAAAACTGCTAAAGCACCAGAGCCATATAACAAATGGAGAGGCTTGCTGCTCTTTTCTACCAGGAGCTCTCTTTTGAGGCTTGGGCACAGGAATCGAGGTTTATTATTTCATCCTCGCATGTAAGAGGATGGATATATTCTAGCCCATCATCCATTAATAACGGCCCCAGAGGTTGTGGAGCAGCCATAGAGGATGTGGAGGATGTTCAGCCTCCCAAATCTTCTTTTCTCTGTATTGAGAACCATTTCTCTGAGAATGTTAAAGGAGAAGCTGATCCTACAGGAAATTATCATATGCAAAGCTCTGGAAAGATTTTTGTAATTATGAATCTTGTTTTTCTGAAAATATTGCTAAATATTGCTATCTTTGACAGCTAGAAAATTTCAATTATTTAAATCACTACAGGCCTTTTACAAAATTCTGCATTTTACATGAACACTTTCATTACACAGGCTGTTTCTGATTGCTACCTATGTCTTTTCTTCTTCGTCTTTTAGGCTAGACAAAATAAGTTTCATGTGTTAATAACAGGAGAGCRAAGAATGGCATATTTTCTATTCTAGGCTGTTTTAAAATAGAAAGGATAGTATTTTTGATGGTTGCAGTATGGTAAATTTGGAGCAATACTGCCTGTTTACGGGAAGGGTTATCGGCTTCCAGGTTTCCATCTCTGTATCTATGCAGGGAAAGCTGCATAGTTTGTTAGGGTGTCCAGGGAAATAGGGATATTTTGTGCAAGCTTTCTCCTGTTTCCAAGGTATTTCAGGTTAGCCATGTGCTATCTTGGATCACATGCTCTTTCCTATCAGGAAGTCCAGTCACTGGGAAGTAAGTTAAAGTGGAAACGAGCTATCCCAGTAACTTTTCAGACCTCAGCAGGATATTAAGTCCCTGAGAGCAAAGACACTGTCTGAATCCACAGAGCCTTTCACCTGCACAGTACTGAGTTTATACTTATACACATACAGAATAACACATCAGTGAGATTGGTGGGTATAATTGCTCCTCATGCAAAGCTGTTCCCTTTTGCATTTATTATAATTGACTATAACATGAGTTCTGATACCTAGTAACCAGCTCACTTTGATAAACAGATAGAAAGTCCTCCAAGGCAGCTGAGTGATGTTTTAAGCATTGCTGAGAGGAGAATCAGAGAGGTAACCTTACAGAATGAGACATATAGGACTGGTTATTATGGTACCTGCTGACTGTGTGGGTGCTTTTGCTGCAAACCAGATATTCTACGTTTTTCCCAGGTAATAAATCAAGGTTAGAAGAAGGAACAGATACTGAGGGTATTCATTATCTGGCTGGACAACGTTTGGACTGAAGACCACATCAGTCTGAAGGCAGATAAATCACTACTGATCCTRCTTGCCTGCAAAAGTGATCAAACCAAACTCTGCCCAGAGCCATTTAAGACAGAGGGCCTAAATGCAGCCMCGCTGATCGCAGCTAAAACTCCTGCTGCTTTTCGGCTCATTGCGAAAAGCACTTAAGCCCTCCGAAGATTTACCAAGATTTCTCATTTCCTCTTGTCTTCGCAAAGAAAGGCTTTGTGCTTCCCGTGATCAGATGCTCTGACCGCAGCTTTGGCCGCCCTCCTCCTTGCAGCCGCTTGGAGGGTSAGGCAGAGCAAACAGGAGGGATTTAAGCAAGAAACAGGAGGTCAATTGGGGCAAAACCTGCTGAAAAACCCTTTGGGGGAGCTCTGCTCAAAATCTGGTATGAAATTTGACCTGGAATGACCTGAATGACCTGGACGAGGGCACAGAATGCACCCTGAGCAAGTTTGCGGATGACACCAAGCTGGGTGGAGTGGCCGACACTCCGGAGGGCTGTGCTGCCATCCAGAGGGACCTGGACAGGCTGGAGAGTTGGGCAGAGAGGAACCTCATGAGGTTCAATAAGGACAAGT